AGTGGCGTAAGGATACTGTTGCGGCCGCAGCAGAAAATAATACCAAACAGGAGAGGGCAAGGTGCTGGCTGCGCTGAGAACCGATATGGGTCACGTGTAACTAGACGATATCAGCGAGAAAGAAAATCAATGTCCAGGCGATTTTCGAAAACACCACACAAACATGGATATTTTATTTCGAAGAAAAAACTACTTTCAAAGGATTACCAGTAAAGTAATGCCCGCATATTACATAGCACGATTTCTGGCATACATAACAGATCCTAATGGAAGCACGCAGTTCAATAAAGAAAGGCTTGGCACAGAGCGCCCGACGGGTGGGCTACCAAAACATCAGCGCTCAACGAAGGCAGCCCCTTGCGATTTTAAATAAAAATTTATGATATTAATATCAAGTCGCACTCGACAAAGTGGAAATCTTATATTTGGGAGTCTCGCATTGGCAAGTTTTCGGGATGCCTCCACAAGCCGTCGCACAGCTACACTAAACCCCTCTAGAGGCGCAATACCTCTAGCTGGTACCTACCCCTAGTCGATATATGTGCGGTATCCCTTTGGAGATTGTCCAAATGGCCATTTGTTTTCCCGCAAGTGCCGTAAACTAGCTCATTGGCCGTCAATAACTTTTTCATCCTCGTCAGCTTTTGCTCATTTATTTTCGCCAATAATAACGTTTCGCATCCGTAGTAATAAATACTGCATAAAAGATCAGCAGCTGTCAGTATGGCGGAAAAACAATTTGTGAGAAAACACGGTGAGTGGTGAAAACACACAAAACTATACCTTGAGAGTTTCAGGAAACAGATGCTGAGGATCCCATTCCAACACATCCATGTAAGCCTCACTTATTATCCGGTTTACTTCACTATTATTTAAATCCTAAAAAGCACAACTTATGTAACGATTTCATAAAACACGGGCCTAAAATATTTCTTATGTAACAACGACTTATGTAATATGTAACAACGAAATTAAAATGCAAAAGTGCAACAAACCTCGAAGCGTTTTTTGGCTGATGATGGCAGTTCGTCGGTGATTAGATGTCTTTTCAGCCACTCCAGTATCGAGACTTCCAAATCTGGAAATACACAAATGTCTGATTTTAAAATTTCTTTTGTTAAACAATCAGAAATTTAATTTAGTAACAAACAAATGACTATGAACTCGATATAACGCCTGTAATGCGCGAAAACGCCTGTGCGGCCGAAAGGTGCGCTTTCTTGTGAGGGCGCGATGACCCAAACCAACAAACTCCTTATCAAAAAAAAAAAAAAATAAATAGCACTACGCACCAGGGCAGCCGG